TCAATAAGTATCCTAACTAACCTCGGCGAGATAAAAGAAGCAAGAACTATAGATAATACTCACTAACACCTGTGCAGTTTAGTATTCCAATAAGTATAGAACATGTATATGATCAAATCAGGAACAATCTCAGGTAAAACCATTTTTGAGGCTCACAATTCTAGGTTTTAAAGTGTTCTGCTCAGTCAACAATCCAACGTATAAGGAAGATATGCAAGTGAATCAGGTAATCAGTCAAGGGATTTACATGTAAAGATGAAATGCAATAACCAAATATCAGCACGTTGCGGCACGCAACCCGATCCAATAATGGTAACCAGCTTTCCCAGAGCTCACATCAATATCAGCTGCATGGATAACTCACGTGCTGTACGGAAAACTCACGTGCTATAGTATCAATATCCTCACGTGCTATAGCATCAATATCTGGATCAAACGGACAACTCACGTGCTGCACAGACAACTCACGTGTTATAATATCAATATCTGGATTCGAACGGACACCTCACGTGTCTGCACGAACAACTCATGTGATATAGTATCAATATCTGAATCCGCACAGATAATTTACATGCTATAATATCAATATCTGGATCCGCACGGATAACTCACGTGCTATAGTATCACAACCTGCCCGGCATGGTCAGATGCATAACAACACAATCCGCCCGGCGTGGTCACAGGCATATCAACACAATCCGTCTGCTGTGGTCACAGGCACCTAGTCCAATAACATCACACAAAAGCAAATATACAAGAACGCATGTATATGATGGATAAATATCAGATTTCATGCTCCTGGACTGGTATAATTATATGTTAAAGTGTAGGCATGTACAATGTGTGCTATCATAGCTCAAATCGGTAATTTATCACAGAAATAGCAATTACCAGGTTTTATTCAGGGATTTAGCCTCTTAGTAACCTCAAACATGGCTCAAATAGTTCACAACAATGATACAAATATGAGAAACATTGTAGCTTAAAGTTTAACAGTCAACTCTAGGCGTACCCGAGCATGGATAAATACCCCGAGCATGAATAAATACCCCGGTTCTCGCATATGGGTTCAAACCCCACACATATGTGTACCCATAGCACGTAGCTATCACAAATAATTCAGGCGACTAGTGCCTCAACCAAGTTTAGATATGATTCTTACCCCAAACAAGCTAAGACAATTACCGAGCAAGCCAAGCAATACTCTAGAAATGCCATCCCGCTCGTACCGACCTCCAAACGGCTCAAAACTAGCCAAAAGTAACTCAAAAGCATCAAATAATGTTAAAGGAAAAAAACCCAATCGATAAAGGTGAAATCTTTAATCAAAAGCCCAAAGTCAACCAAAAAGTCAAAACCGGGCACCTCAAAACCCGACAAAATCACAAAATCCGATAACCCATTCAAATACGAGTCGAACCATACTAGTTTCACTCAAATCCGACTCCAAATCGATGCCCAAAACTCTAAAATTCTCTTTATGAAATTTTAGACAAAATTCCCCCAATTTCTCTTTTGAAATTATCAACCAATTACCAAAAATGAAGATAGATTCATGAAACATAATCAAAATTGAGTAGAGAACACTTACCCTAATTCATGTGGTGAAAATCCTTTCAAAAATCGCCTCAATCGAACTACATAGCTCCAAATATGATAAAATGGCTGAAACCTCAAAATAGAGTACTTTATATTCATTGGACAAATCAATGAATCGCGATCGCGAAAATACCATCGTGAACGTGAAGAAGAAAAATGCACTGCCCCAAAAATACTCTATACGATCGCGTGATCGCGAAGAACAAAAGCCACTACCACCAAAATGCAATATGCGTTCGCGATACTAGCCACGCGAACGCGATGACCACTGATGTCAAAGCTCCGCGAACGCGACTCAAATAATGCGATCGCGTTAAAGAATTCTCCAGCTCTCAGCTACCCAGTCTCAGCACTACACGACCACAATTCCTCATACATGAACGCGGACAGTAACCCACACAATCCTGCGCGAACGCGATCATCCAATCGTGACCGCAATGAAGAAAGTGCCCAGCTACAGATTTCCTCTATGCGATCGCATCCCCATTTTCGCGATCGCGGAGGACAATCGAGGCAACAAAAACCAGCAATAACCAACAGTGAAAACATAAAGAAAAATAGTCTGAAATCAATCCGGAACACGCCCGATCCCCTCGCGACCCTGTTCGAACATACCAACATATCCCATAACCTAACACGGACCTACTCGAGACATCAAATCATGCATAACAACGTCGAAACGACGAATCACACATCAAATCAAACTTAATGAACTTTTGAACTTTCAACTTCCAAAACTCGTGCTGAAACATATCAAATCAACCCGGAATAAATCCAAATTTTGCACACAAGTCTCAAATGACATAACGAAACTATTTCAATTTCCGAAACCACAATCTCGTTCAACTCTCGGTCAAACTTATGAACTTTTCAAACCTTTAAATTTCTAATTTTTGCCAATTAGTGCCGAAACCTTCTACAAATACCCAAATGAGATTTTCGGGCATACGCCAAGTCCAAAATTATCATCCGGACCTAACGGAATCATCAAAACTTCGATCTGAGGTCAAATACTAAAAAGTCAAACCTGGTCTTCAAACATGAAAATTATTCATCAAACTAATTCTGAAATACCTGATAACCAAAACCGACGATACACACAAGTCATAATATATCATTCGGAGCTAATCAAGACTCTAAATAGCTAAACAAAATGTAATTGCTCAAAACGACTGGTCGGATCGTTACAGGTATATTGGTGTTGTTATATACCAACATCTTCTTCACGATAATAGTACTTTTCTTGATTCTGATATAATGCCTCACCAGCGATTCTTTTCTCTCTTTCTTCTCTCCCTAGTTACACAGCAAATCCAGAATAGACTACAATGCTAATTTGGAGTAAAACAAAAAAATTGATAGTGGTTTGATCAAAGTATATTCTTCCTTTGTGCCTCTTGTAGTATATATGTGATTTGAGCACAAGTCTTCTAGGTGTGACAGTTCCATAGATGGTGGGAAACCCAAGGGAATTGGTCCTTAGAATTAATCAAGATTGATTTCTTCCAAGAATAAGATAGTAACTTTCTATACTTGGTCCGTTGCTTCAGTGATTGATTTTTCTCCGAAAGTCGTTGCTTCCTTGATAGACGTGATTGATTATCCTCCGCAAATCTCCCATGCAGATTGATTGTTGTGCCTTCCCTAAATAACTGGAATCAAATATTTGTTCTCCATGATGCTCGTAATCATAGCATGATTGATTCCTTGATCCTTGCTTCTAGATCTTCAGTGGAATCTTGATTTCTTATTTATTGGTACTCTTCCACTTTGCCTTCTGACTTTCTTCTTTGGGGTTGTTTTCCTGCAAATAGAAGTAAGTTATTTTCCATCATTAAAATATATATCTGACATTGTAAACTTTAATCTACAAAATACCGCCAAATTAGCGAGAAAACTATCATAATATGCTATTCTCCATCTTGTACAATTATTTTATGTCACCGTATTTGTACTTAACCAAACACTAAAGTAATAATAATCTAGAAAATAATTTTGTAAGATAAAACAATTTCAAAGGAAAAATAATTTATGAAATGAAGCCTTGGAGCAATGGTAAAGTTGACTTTGTGTGACTGTCTAAAATAATTTCAGAGGAAAAACAGCTTGCATTAGGTTAGGCTATCTACATCACACCCTTTGGGTGAGGGTGTGACCCTTCCCCGGACCCTGCGTGAATGCTGGATGCTTTGTGCACTGGGTTACCCTTTTAGAGGAAAAATAATTTATTTTATACCAGATACAGAGTTAATTTCACTGATGGTCATCCAACTTATCATTTATTTCACAAAAAGTCACTTAACTAATTTTCATCACTTAAAAGTCACTCAACTTTACCTTTGTAACTTAAAAGTCATTCTAGTTAAAAACCTACAAAAATATCCAATAAAAAATATGACATGACATTAAATTTAATTAAAAAATCTAACAATAATGCCACATAAGCTTAAATAGACCATATCTAAGTTAGACTCATTTCTTCTTCACCCCGATTTGACGTATAACCAAAATGGATTATTAATATTTGAACAATTAACTGGACTACCACTATGATTTTGTGGTTAATTTGTAGAAAAAGAAGTCTAAGAAACTTAAGAAAAATTAGGTCTTTTGAATTTATCTTTAGGTTTTGGTAGTACATTTACGGTCAATGACACAATACATTGTCTCTTTCTTTTGTCCAAATTATCGCTATAAGTTGTCTACGATTGTGGTGTGTATTGATAATTTCTACTATACAATTTTATTGTGGATGTTTCTTACTAAGCTGTATTTTTGTCTGTTAGTATTGCTTAATAAGCAATGTTTTGACTTTAATGGAATAGTAATTTGTGAAAATAGGTTCTTATTAGCTTGTTGTTCTTGTCTGTTAGTGGTATATTTAATTGTTATGCGAGATTGATATGATAGTATTTTAACTTCATGAAAAATTATAAAATGATACGAAAGATGCAAAAACTGGTTCTATGCTAGTTTTGTTCATATTTTTAATGAAATTATAGGTGGTAGTATTAAGGTTATTACGTAACAAATTAAGAAAGATATTTTTAGCACAAAATAATTGTTTTCTTCTTTTCCTTCTAATTGTCAAAATATTAAAACTCATTTTGGTTATAGGTCAAATCGAGTTGAAGAAGAAATTGGTCTAATTTATATATGGTCTACTTAAGTTTATGTGGCATTATTGTTAGATTTTTTAATTAAATGTAATACCATGTCATATTTTTTATTGGATATTTTATAGGTTATGAACTAGAATGACTTTTAAGTTAAAAAGGTAAAGTTGAGTGGCTTTTAAATGAGAAAAAAATAGTTTAGTAACTTTCGTCAAATAAATGATAAGTGATTAAAAAGAACAAAAATATGCCACAATATCAAGTGTTATTTATGTGGGACAGAATGCGCTGATTCTCTTCTTGTTGGGCTACTCTCTGATGCCCACCTCAGCTGGGACATAATCTCCTTTCTCCATATTTTGCACACGAAGAAGATGACTTAATTTCCAAGCTACGAGCTTCAATCTCTGTACTTCGTGTTTTGATCAATTTTCCACTCAATAAACAACAATATCTTGACTCAACTTGTTGAAAGTGAGTGTTAACGTGTTCACTTCCTCTGTTCTTTCTTGTGTATGAACGCAATCTTCTGAGAATCAAAGCTTAAAGATCATGTATTTTCTTTATTCATCATTTTCTCCATACGGGTTTTACAGAATCGAATTCAAATTCAAAACCCCCCACATGTTAAGTATCAGTAATTGTATATAAATTCTTGCAAAGTTTTCAACCTTGTGATCAATTTGCCGTCATGGGACACTCTCACTCTCACTCTCATTCTCATTTTCACTCATCCAATTCTTCCAATGATCAAAATATGGATATGGGGGAATCGATCACCACGCAAACGGACGTTTCTTTCGTGCTCGCTAAACATGTTTTCTCCAAAGAAGTTAAAGGAGATTCCAACCTGATGTTCTCTCCTCTTTCAATTCAAATAGTACTTGGCCTGATTGCGGCCGGTTCTAAGGGGCCAACTAAGGACCAGCTGCTCTGCTTCCTCAAGTCCAAATCTATTGATGAACTTAACTATCTTTATTCTCATCTTGTCAATATCGTCTTGGTTGATGGAAGCCCAAATGGAGGTCCCCGTTTGTCTGTTGCTAATGGTGTTTGGATCGACCAAACACTGCCTTTTAAGCCTTCTTACAAAAAGGTTGTGGATAAAGTTTACAAAGCAGCTTCAAGTTCTGTTGATTTTCAGTACAAGGTTAGGCCTCTACTAATGTGTTTCATTGAGATCTTGTTTCTTTTGTGCTGGGCTTTTGATTTTCTTTGCTCATGCTGACTTATGAAAATTGGTTTATCAAGTATTATAAATGACCCTAAATACTACTCATATCACAAGCCTCCAAATACTTTCCTTTTTGTGTGTGGTAACGCCCCAAATACTATCATACAAAATGGATACAGATGATACATATAGTAAACTGCAGCTAACTTGGGGTTGAGGTATAACTGATTGATTGATAGATTGATTAAGCAGTCTGATTTTAAAATAATGAAAAGTGTTAAACAATTAGGACAGAGACTATATTGCTTAGCATTTTGATCATTCTAGCCTCAAGTAGTATAAAACCTAATATTGTGAATGGTTGAAACCCGTTTCATATTAGAATCGAGGCAGTTTAAAGAGTAAACAATATTGAATATTAAATTGATAAGCAAGATGAAAGAGTCAGATTTAATGAATACCTATCGTTGCAGGTTAGTTTGACTAGTTCTATATTTTACTAAGAGGTAATAAGCTTCTTTACAGTAGGATGCCCAAAGAAGCCTAAATAGTTCTAAGCTCAAAAGCTCGCCTAAATGTACAAGTATATGCCCAATCTGTGCTTAAAATATACCACGTAAAGCATCCAAATTCTCATTTACCCCTTGCAAGTACTATCATTGATTTTCTTACTACAAACTCCCTTTGTTGGCTAAAGCATATAGTATGGTGCTAATTCTGTCGTACACTATGTTTGTCTTGCTAAATATTGGCTAAGGCTGCTGAGGTTGCCAATCAAATCAATCAGTGGGCTAAAATGAAGACAAATGATCTCATTAAAGAGATTCTTCCTCATGGAACAGTAAACAATATGACAAGGCTCATCTTTGCAAATGCATTATATTTTAAAGGAGTATGGAATGAGAAGTTCAATGCTTCAGAAACAAAAGACCATGAATTCCATCTTCTCAGAGGAGGGTCTATTAAAGCGCCTTTCATGACTAGCAAGCAGAAGCAATATGCAGCAGCCTTTGATGGCTTCAAAGTGTTGGGACTTCATTACAAACAGGGCAAAGATATCCGTCGTTTCTGCATGTATTTAATTTTGCCAGATGCCCGTTATGGATTACCAGCTTTAATAGATAAAATTAGTTCAGAACCAGGATTTTTAAATTACCACCTTCCGTTTGAAAAGGCAAAAATGCATAAGTTTCTTATCCCTAAATTTAAAACAACTTTTGGTTTTGAAGCTTCTAATGTTTTAAAGGGACTTGGCCTCACATTGCCTTTCTCCACTGGTGGCCTCACTGAGATGGTGGATTCCCCGTTAGGTGGGAGGTTGTTTGTTTCACAGTTTTTTCACAAGTCCTTCATTGAGGTAAATGAGGAAGGAACTGAAGCTGCAGCTGTTACAGCTAGTGTAATAATGACCAAGTCATTGATAATTGAGAAGGAAATGGAGTTTGTTGCTGATCATCCGTTCCTATTCCTTATAAGAGACGATGCTACTGGTGTTGTGTTATTCATAGGGAGCGTGTTGAATCCTCTAGCTGGTTAGCCCACTGAAGCAATAAAGAAATCTGGAAGGAAAGGAAAGAAAGCAATATAAATCTCTGAATTCTAATCATTGCATGAATAATGTAAAGCTTAAGTTAGCATGGTGAGATCTTATATTTGCAAAGAGTGATTGATCTATACTGGACACAGAGAAGTGTTATGTATCTAAATAACCAGTTTCTTGATTTGTGTATCTGTTTGATGAGAGGCGTTATGTATCTAAATAACCAGTTTCCTGATTTGTGTACTCTTTTGATGAGATCTTGTACTTCATATCTGGCATCTTATATAATTGACTCGTCTATGCTTGATTTTTTTGTGTATTTTGACATGATATATAATTTGACTTGGTCTTACATTAATTTCTCTGAAGGCGGTCTCACTGATATGGTGGCTTCCTTTAAAGCTTAGAACCTGTTAGTTTCAGACATTTTCATCAGTCCTTTGTTGAGGTAATGAAGAAGGAAGGGAAGCTGCAGGTGTTAATATTGCCTCGTTAATATTATGTTAGGCGCCCATTAATGAATACTCATTGACTTTATTACTGATTTGGTTCTTGTTCTTCGTAATTGGATGATACAACTGCAACTATATTATCATAGGGCGATTGCTTAATCCTCTTATTAGTTAAGTTGGATCTGTAGCAGTAAAGAGTTTGTTATAAATAGAAAGACTAGCATGCTTATGTTGTATAGTACATAAGTGGCTTTTGATACTTTACATCTAGGAACAGTGAAATCTAGTAGCTGGTCCAGTGTGTGTAAATGTGGTAAAACTAGTTTAGTATGATCTCTTCATACAGGTAATAACATGTCATTTTCTCTTTGATGTACTCATATTTCAGAATTCAGATATTATGTACCTTAACATCCACCTGAAAGCTGATTTGATCAACACAACTTAATGACTAAAATGAAAAAAATAACACTAAAGTCTGTTGAATAGAGATGCAAAATGTCACAATTTTACGTGCTTCTAAGACAACAGGTTGATAACTCCGAAGTCAACCCCAGGTGGGACATGCTCTGCTTTCCTTCTCCGTGTCATTTTGGTGTTGTTTCCATCTAAGAGCTTCCCTTCGTTTAAATAATACTCATTGAACTTCCAGTAGAATATAATATTGATTTTGGTGTTCCTTTCATTGATTCCTTCCTGCGTATGAATCTGCGTAGAGAATAAGTCTTATAAACGTGCAATTCTTTATTCGATCGCCATTTCTCCAAATTCAAAACCCCACCTGTTAAGTAACAGTATAATTTATAAATTCTTGCAAAATTTTCAACATTGTGATCATTGACCTCGCACCTAAGCCTCCTCCTCCTCCTCCTTCTTCTTCTCCTTCGCACGCAACTATGGATCTCAGGGAGTCAATCAACAACCAGACGGATGTTTCTTTCATGCTAGCTAAGAACATTTTCTCCAAAGAGGTTAAAGGCGATTCGAATGTGGGGTTTTCTCCTCTTTCAATTCAAATAGTTCTTGGCCTGATTGCTGCCGGATGTAAAGGACCAACGCAGGATCAGCTGCTCTGTTTCCTCAAGTCCAAATATATTGATGAACTTAACTCTCTTTATTCTCATCTTGTCAATATCGTCTTTGTTGATGGCAGCCCTAATGGAGGTCCGCGTTTGTCTGTTGCTAATGGTGTTTGGATCGACCAAACACTCCCTCTTAAGCCTTCTTTCAAGCAGGTTGTGGGCAATGTTTACAAGGCTGCTTTAGAGTCTGTTGATTTTCAGAACAAGGTTAGTCCTTTTTTAAAAAAAAATTTGTTTCATTGAATTCTTATTAATTTTTCGTGCTAACTGATGAAAATTGATTTGTACACTATCATAACCATATTTACTATTCACATCATAAGCCTCCAAACACTATCATATGAGATGAATACCGATGACTGTAACTACTATGGGATTGAGTTGATAACTTAAAAGAATGGGAAGTATCAGACAATTAGGAGTTGAAAGAATCAAAAAATTTATTTGATAAGCAACCAAGAATGAGAGGAAAAATAATGAATGCCCTATCAGGTATGTAGTAGGGTAGTTGACTAATTGAGTAATAGTAAGCTTCTTCAGTAAATAAGCCTAAATTGTTCTAAGCTTAGCTAGAGACAGGTCTGTGCTTAAATTCTTAAGCTCAGTTTGGCCTCGCTTGTGCATATCTATACCCAATCCTAATCATTGCTTAACTACCATGTAAAGCAGCCAACTTCTGATCTTACCCCTTCCCTATACTGTCATCGATTTACTACTGCAATTTCCCTTTGTTGGCTATATTTAAAAAGAAATAATTGGCTGCAGCATGTGTGCTAATTCTATCATTACCTGTTTGTTTTGAAAATTGATTAAGGCTGCTGAGGTTGCCGATCAAGTCAATCAGTGGGCTAAAATGGAGACAAATGATCTTATCAAAGAGGTTCTTCCTCGTGATGCAGTGAACAACATGACAAGGCTGATCTTGGCCAATGCACTATATTTCAAAGGAGAATGGAATGAGAAGTTCAATGCTTCAGAAACGAAAGACCATGAATTCCTTCTCCTCAATGGAGGGTCTATTCGAGCACCATTTATGACTACCAAAAAGAAGCAGTACATAGCAGCGTTTGATGGCTTTAAAGTATTGAGGCTTCCTTACAAACAGGGCACAGACACGCGTCGCTTCTGCATGTATTTCATTCTCCCAGATGCCCATGATGGATTACTTGCTTTAGTGGAAAAAATCAGCTTAGAACCAGCATTTTTAAATAACCATGTTCCATATGGAAAAGTTAGAGCGCGCAAGTTTCTTATCCCTAAATTCAAAATAACTTTTGAGTTTGAAGCTTCCAACATTCTAAAGGGACTCGGCCTCACTTTGCCTTTTTGTGGTGGTGATCTCACTGAGATGGTTGATTCCCCTATATCTCAGAACCTGTCTATTTCACAGGTTTTTCACAAGTCTTTCATTGAGGTAAATGAGGAAGGAACCGAAGCTGCAGCTGTTACCGCTACTGTTATAATGACCATGTCCTTGATTATTGAGAAGGAGATAGATTTCGTCGCGGACCATCCATTCCTATTCCTTATAAGAGACGAATCTACTGGTGCAGTGTTGTTCATAGGCAGTGTGATGAATCCTCTAGCAGGTTAACCTACGTGAATGTCTGAATTCACATCCATAGAAAGCTTTATATTAGCAAGATATAATATTTGCAGAGAATGGTAGATTTATCAATTATTAGGACAAAGTTGAGTGGTGCTACGTATCTTTTTGTAACTCTGTACCCTTATGATGAAACCTTACTTAATACATCTCTGGCATCTTATATAATTTTATTTGTGCTTTATATATTAGCTTAATGAAATATTGTATTGTACTACAACCTTTTTGTTTTCTTTTTATTAACTTTCTTTTATTAGTAATATAAAGGTTCCCTAATTTTTATGGCTAACTACTCCTATATAAGGTAATGTACAATTGAGTTACTTTTCCTCCAAGAAAAGTATCAAAGAAAATCTAATTATGATCGAACACTATTAACACAAACCTAGTTAAAGTAGGCTCCCAACTTCTGTGTGAAGAGTCCGATCAAAACAGCAAAAACGAAAAACCTGAGCCTCTCCAAGTTTTTACTCACCAATATCTTTTAGACAATATGGATTTCTATAGATCGATCTTAAAGCAGACGGATGTTTCTTTGATGCTTGCAAAACATGTATTCTTCAGCAAGTTTCGTCAGTCCAATGCCAACATGGTAATTTCCCCGCTCTCAATTCAAAAAGCTCTTGGTATGATTGCTGCTGGCTCAAAAGGTCGTACATTGGACCAACTGTTATCTTTTCTCAAGTTCAATTCCATTGAAGAACTTAACTCTGTTTCTTCTCGGGTCATCGCTGATGTTTGTGCCGATAGCAGCCGCTTTGGAGGTCCTCGTTTGTCTGTTGCTAATGGCGTTTGGATTGACTGAACTCTGTCTTTTAAGCCTTCTTTCAAACAGACTATGGACAATGTTTATAATGCTGCTGCTGTGCCTGTTGATTTTCAGAACAAGGTTAGTCGTCCCTTCACTCATTTGTCAGCGCTGATATTCTGATCACCTAAACCTGTAACAGTAAAATATGTTTATCACAAAAGAATTCGCCTTTGGAATATTAAGGTTTCAGATTCTTGAATTCAATGGGTGCCAAGAAAAATACAGACCTTAATAATAGTCCATTCGGGTTATTAGCTGATTGAAAGTAGCCGATAAGTATCAAGTGTTGACGAACACTTTTTGTTGAAGCTGATTTTATTAATAAAAGTAGTTGATGTGCTTGGTAAAAAAAATATATGATAAGCAATTTCTCTGTTAATGACTAATATGGCCTTAAAATTATTTACAAAAACATTAAATAACATATACAACAAGAAGAGTGAACTCAAAAATTGAACGCAAAGAAAGTCTGGAGTTATATTTTGGGAAGAGTATTTTGAGAAATTGAAAATATATTAGGGAGTTCTACTTAGCTTATAAGCACTTCAGATGTCTACTAAACGTATAAGCTAGTTTGACCAGCTTATAAGCACTTTAGATGTCTACTAAATGTATAAGCTAGTTTGACCAGCTTATAAGCTTACAAAACAAAATGCTGATAAACTCTTTTGCATATACAAAATGCTGATTAGCATGTCCGCTGACAGACTTGTGATTTCCGTTCAGCAATGATAGGGAGATCAAGAAAAGATGGATTTAGTTTATAAATTGAGTTGAAGAATCTAATGTGCGGTATATAAAGCATTTTTTTTAATGTCAACTATATCTGCTAGTAGCTTGCTGATTTTATAATCATTGTTTGTTTTAACTTTTTATCAACGCTGATGAGGCTCGTAATGAAGTCAATAAGTGGGCTGAAGAGAAGTATTAAAGCTTTGATTGTTTTAAAGGAAGCAATACGCAGAGGCCTTTGATTGTTTTAAAGTATTAAAGCTTCCTTATAAACAAGGCTATGATCTAAGGCGATGTTTCAGCATGTATTTGTTTCTCCCAAATGCCTGTGATGGCTTACCAACTTTACTGGAGAAAATTACTTCTGAACCTGGATTCTTAAATCAACATATTCCATTACAAGAAGTTAGAGTGCGCTAGTTTCTTATCCCCAAATTCAAAATAACTTTTGGGTTTGAAGCTTCTGAGGTTCTAAGAGAACTTGGTGTCACAGCACCTTTTGTTGGTGGTCTCACTGAAATGGTGAATAACTCCCTTGTAGCTAAAAGCCTGTTTGTTTCTAATATTTTCCACAAGTCCTTTATTGAGGTAAATGAAGAGGCATCTTTTTGAAATGTGTCACCCACTGAGGCAATTCAAGTTTGGTGTAATTAGATCTCATTTTGTGGATGACTCTTTTTTCACGTGAACTAGTTTCTCGACATGTGCTTTATTGTGATGCCGAGTCAAATAGTATTACGCTTTATAAAATAATATTAATATTCTTAAAATAAAGTTTTTAGTAAAATTTATACTTGAAAAAATAAAGTACACGCTTTGTCAATAAAAATTACCTATAAAGATAAACAATTAAATTTTTATTAGATACATGCAAGTACTAAAAGTTTATTACACACAAACATCAAACTTTGCAAACAGACTATTAACTTAAGCCAAACAGCAACTCCACTGCCAAGTAAAACCTCCTCATATACAAGATGTTGACTAAAGGAGCCAGTGTTCTTTTTTTTTTTTTTTTTTTTTACAAAAAGAAATAATGTCAAACATCTCAGGGCAGAATGATCCATCGTCCATATCCTCACACTAAACAATAAATATTCTCCTCAATTGTAGTCCGTTGACTGCGCACAGAGCTTAAAAAACAAAAAAAAAAAATTTAAAACTTGTGGAGTTAAACTGAAGATATGTATAATGTATTAAAATGCTCTTAAATTTTGTGATCTTAAATATGCCACGTAGAATGTCGGCTCGGAGCTAAAGAACAACTAAATATAGAGGCATTATTTTTGAAATAAATTAAAAAAGAAAAGTAAAATACATAAATTGAAACAAATAGAATGTTTTTATCTTCCCCTTCACCTATACACCTCTTAAATGCACGCTCAATTTGCGCCTCGCGAAATTCTATCGCTTTTCGTCTTAAAATATAGTATTTATACCAAGTGTAAATACAATATTATGTAATGGTAAAAAAGTTAGATCATTAGAAATCATTGCAACATAAGCAATCAACACCTACAATTTCCCCGCCCCCAATACCGGCTTGATCAACCCAGTTACTTATTTTTTTAAAATAAGTATTTCTCAAAAAAAATATTTTATCAAAAAATATTTTTTCTCCATACAAAACTCACAAAGTTAAGGATATTTTAGTGTTACGAAAAATGAGTTAAGAACCAGTATTTTATAAATCAGAAGTACTAAGCATCATCATATACGCAAAAAATATTTAACTTTTATCAAAATGTTGGGAGAACCTAGTCATCTTTTTAAAGGTGTATGAATCAATAAAATTACATAATTTTTTCTAACCTATGGCGAAGAATGAATCTGGCTTCATAGCAAATATATACTCTTATTTCTATTGTATTGGGTAAAATACGTTATGCTATGTGGTCACCTAAGAAGGGGACACGTGGAATCAAAACTGAGAGGACGAAAAATAGGGTACAACTATCTCGTACGTCACCGAGAAAGGCAAGTTCGTAAGGGCATTAAGCATGCTGTGCCCGATGGCATTTAATGAAGAATATTCCACAGCATTAAAGAGTAACGACTCATTAAAGAAATCTGAGCATTTATATTTACCTTTAGATTTTCATTATCATGCTCCAATAATTGTTATTAGTGGTGGGCCCGACCATTACGCCCACTAAGCTATAAATAATATGCTCAACTATCATTGTAAGGAGAGTTTTTTCTGGAATACATGGACAAAATTCTACAGAGCAATCTGATACTTTTTTTCCTCTCTTTTTCGCTTGTTAATCTTATCATCGTTGTGCCCGAAAACCTGATTTCCGGGCTCTTCGAATCCATCATTTCACCTCCATTTTTGAGTTAAGTATCTTACATCTAATCGATTAATTCATAATATTTGGGATCAAATTAATCATATCTCTAAAATCACGAATAAATTGAACTATACCGTTTTACGGGCAAATAGTTTGGCGCCCACCATGGGGCCTAGACAATAGTACGGTTAAGTCGATCCTTAACTCTTTCACTCAAGATCTTTGATTGTTCTTGCCTTAGAAAAAATCATAGAACATGGCAATCAATACCATCAATAACACTCGCAACCCTGGGTTCAAGGGGAACACCCCTATCTTGAGGACTCAATCAGCGACACTCGCGATGGGGAAGAAGATGCCACGCCGGTATATGACGGACGGTACCCCAGACATGTACGGGAGACAACCCCAGATGGTTCTGACCAGGGACAAGTAGTAGATGCGGTAAGGATCCTACAAGAATAACAGGCAATCCTCCTAGGCCACATCATGCGGCAGGATCAGGTTATGACGGAGTTAAAAAAGGCTCTATCAGGCGCTTCAAATAATGCAGACAAGCGAGATCCAGTTCCTCCCATTGTTCCTACGAACCAAACAACGCAGAGAATCGACAACAACACTCCCAAGGGAAAAGTCGGCTCCGACAGGGCTGGGTAGTAGATCTGGCCTCAACAACGATAACGATTCATTCAAGGAAGAACTCTTGTGGTTTATGAAGGAAGTAAACGCCCGCATGAACCAAATCCTTGGCGCACCTCCAATGTTAAAAGATCTGAGCCCAAAGAAGTACATTCAATTACCGTACAAACCAAGTGCGGCCCCGGAACTGATACCAAAATGATTCAGAATGCCGGAAGTGCCAAAATACGACGGGGCTTCAGATCCACCAGAGCACATCACCACCTACACAACAACAATGAAAGAAAATGATCCGGCTCCTCACAAAATTGAGTCTGTATTATTGAAAAGTTTTGGTGAGACACTCACAAGGGGAGCCTTGACATGTTACCCATTATTGCCCAAGCATTCCATAGATTCCTTTGAAATACTCACGGATTTGTTCATCAAGGTCCATGCCAGTGCCAGAAAGGTACAAGCTCGTAAAGCCGACATATTCAGGATCGCGCAGGAAGAATCTGAATTATTACGAAGGTTCGTTATCCGGTTCCAAAAGGAAAGGATATTGTTACCGACTGTCCCGGATGAATGGGCACCTGAAGCATTCACTAAAGATTTAAACCCGAGAAGTTCAGATGCTTCCCGGAAGTTGAAGGAAAGTCTGCTCGAGTTTCAAACAACAACTTGGGCAGATGTCCACAACCGGTACGAGTCAAAGATTAGGATCGAAGATGATCATGCT